AAATGAGGTTTTATCGAAGAAACACGCCACTCATAAGGTTGCTGAAAACTCTTCGACAGTCCACAAACGGTTTCACCCCTCTTGGAGCTGACAGTTAGAGGCAGTACTCCAGTTTCCCTCAACCTTATGCTTTGCTTGAACCCGAATTTCACGAAATTAGCTATATACACCCACATGCATACCAGTCTGGTATTTCTGAGAGACCCAAATGAACCTCTCATTTATGCTGTTTGTGATTTCGTGGGTTGTCGAGGGGTTTTTAACAACCTTATGAGTAGTGCGCTACCTCTATACACAGTATTGCAATAATGGCGTATTGTGCCAACTGAAGCATGAGATGGCCTGGTGCAGCGCATTCAGTTGAAGAACATCATAAGTGAGAGATTCAGTTGCAGGTTCAGAGGCATGACATCTCACAATATGCAGTGTTCACGTGCATGCGTTCCCAGATCAAACTCGCTAGTCCCAACACGTCCACTATCAGTGTCACAACACTATCCCTAAGCTGACAGGCGAGCAACCGTATCGACCGTACCGATCGATCAGTTCACTTGCCTCTACGAGACGAAAGTGAGACGGGATCGGCTATGCAATGGCCGGACAGTGGTGGGTAAGTGTGTTTAGGCCTTGGCAAATACACCGACCGTCCTTTGACTGGTTTGGTGACTTTCATGCCATGTCCCCTTGGGGTTAGTTATGAACTGCATGGTTTAACGATAGAGCTGCTTCACGGGAAACACAACCGATTAATATGAAACTTGAAGTGAATGTGTGAAACTAACTAGGCCATGAAAATCCAAGTAATGAGCATCAGACAGAAAAAGGTTCCAAAAATTTAACTGAAGCATTCGATTTTCACTCATACGAGAAATAGGTTAGTCATATATAGAGTGCTCGCGAACCTGCCGGTCAGTTCCACAGCATCTAAGCTACGCCCTAGGTAACATCTTTGAGACAATGGGCTTGTATCTACTCAGAGGGTTCATGTTTAAGCTGATTTCATCGTTTAACAGTTGCGCGCATGTTTTATTATCAACATGCCTTGTCGTGACAGAGATTTAGTGAGATCAAAACTGAAAAAAACTTTCACTTGCGAACTGTGTTAACAAATTCAAGATAGCGGATGATGAATCGTGTCAGCAACTTTGTGATCTGGCCCATTCTGACTTCTTTAAATCCTGTACCGGATAACGTCTTCGGTCGGAATACGCAGCTGGGCAGTTGGGTAAGTAGGGTTGCGATTTGGGACGGAGATTGGCTTTTTGTCCAATCATCAACGATAAGATGTGTAATTCGAGTAATAAAAACATCTGGTCTCTGAGGTACTCTAGTTCTGCTTATTGCATAAGTTATGGAGTCCTATACAGGACTATGTGAATGGCTTGGATGCTGTACGCGATGTTCACCAGCAACACCCTTACCTCCTTCCGATGGCCATATTTCTAATACCGACAAATACAGTTGTTTTTTCTTATTCTAGGCTACGTCCTGTAAAAATGGTCCATCGTTTCGGTTGCTGGCTGCCGTTCCATCCAAAGGGAGCACAAGGGCCGAAATATTGCCAGGTTGCCCAAGCCTACACAGGAGCGGTCCAGATTCAGAGATTGGGTTCGAACCATGAACCTTCCGGTCAAGTAAATTCGTTCTCGAACCACTGAGCCATCTCGAGTTCAGTCAACCGGCAAAAAGCAAAAAAAGTCAGCGAAACAGTATGCGGAAAAATGGAACGGTAGTGCACTCACACAATTGTGATCTTGAGTGACAGGCAGAAAAAATAGAACCAAATATTCTGGCATTCATAATATACGAGAATGGTTCAACCGGAAATGGCACAGTTTCATGAATTTTATCCCAATTGGGTCATCTTCGCCTCAGTATACTCTGTGTGGCCGTTTGTAAAGGTTCTGTTGAAGTCATTCAAACCGACCATTCGGTGGCAGAGCGCTAATCTGTCAGAGGGACTGTCTGTCTTCGGTTTCTGGTCGGTTCATAGCAGTCCTGTGTCTCACATCCCTTACTTCCGTCATCGAACAAAGTAATTTGCAAGTGTACGGCACAGTTGTGATATTTGATTAAAAACTTGTATAGATACTATTGCAAATTCAGACGCTTTTTGATATTTATCAGACTGGTTGAAAAATACATGGAAAGTGCCAGCACCTAGAAAACGTCACTATAAGCAGCAGGCTGCCAAACTAACGTCGATATGTTATGAAATTTACTCTTAGGACCAACACGCTAGGTTTTATGCTGTGCACTACAAAGCCGGACTCGCACCGGAAGTGGTAACCATCATTCAGAGGCATGGCCGAATCGTCGGGGCAATAATGCTGGCCGGCTACATTCAGCTTTAAGTAGAGGTCGGAGCTGTCCGTTTGAGACCCATCCCTTATTCCCTTTTGTCTACTGTACATTCGTTTTTTTTGTTCATACGAATGATTACAAAGAGACTGGCTTCAAATTTTTGCGTTCTACTAATCGGTGTCAACTTCAGTGGGTTAACGACATCACGGTAACATCATATTCGTATAATTTCCAAGGAAGCTTTTTTCTTCGACAGACCATGGGTCGAGTATGTTGAAGTTACAGCAGTTTCACAAACGACCAACCTTCAATTTAGACATGTATGAACAGCTACGACGGATTGTGGTTCACCAGAAGTTGTGTTTTGGTCAGAACGGTTATCCGTACATGAACCGTCTGGTTAGACTGAAAACACCGAACGTCATCATTTTCAACCGATTAACTGTCCATGGCCACAGTATTGGGTAGCGGAATTGAATTCGTACAGCGAAGATTATTTAATGAAAACGACATCAGAGCCTCATCACCTTGAACCAGGGTTGCAGTCAAATTAAACTGTCCAGTCGATAGCACCTTTAGCCCAGTCTGTCACTGCTCGCTGAGGGAATCAGCTAGGGATTTGGTTGGGTGGCGTCGTATACAAATGTGAACCCACGGTGATTTACACTGACCTGAATTCAACCATATAAACAGGTAATAACCTCTGGTTTTGCTGTGAATGTTAACAATTCACACTGGCGCAGTTTTACAGTTCTGGTATGGAGTGAAATGTTCTAAGTGGGTACACTCTATTTCGCCGGGTTGCACCTCGAATTCCCGGTGCGCTGTACAGAAAATTTAGAATGAGATAAAAGGTAAACTTTACAAGAATTGATAGCAGTTCCACAGATGGAAGGGTTCGAGGGGTACCGTACTATAAGATTATAGTGTACTACCAGGCAAAGTAGGAAAAGAGACTCGATTGTCATCAAAACACTCCAAAGTTCACCTGTTCCGCTCATTGACCCTAGATTATTCCGCTCAGATCCCACAGGTCACGTTAAAAGTCCAGGCGATCCGATCAGAGGTAATAACGTTTGATAATGAGAGAATGGGAATGAGAGCTCGTAACTCTGGGTTTGGCTCTGGCATAGTGATCTGTATTAAGAGCTTTTCAGAAGTATTCATCCCAAAGCAATTCGAATAACTGAAACTAAATGCAGCGCCATAGAACGGTTTAATCCGGCCGCATGAACATTTTATCTGAAAGGGAACTGGTGTGTTTTAGCACTGGATGTGCATGGGGACAGGACATTTTTTGAGACAATAATAAACTCTTTATCTCGGGAACATCTGTACGGATGGCCTCTCACATGACCGCATATCTACTCCCGTTACTGCAAGGTATATATGTTGCTTTTTTCTTTCGAAATGTGGGAATCAGCCAAGTACGCTTCAGTACGCTAGTTCAGCGTTCGTATCGATTGTGTCAACTTCGTCACACTTAAGAGATTTTGGTTCGATCGATATACGACGGCGCGTACAGCTTGTTTCGCACACTTTTCGTGCAAGATGATCTAGAAAACAAAAATGTCGTGCGAAAAAAACACAATAAAACATCTGAAGGTCGACATCCACCATGAAAGAGCGTGAAATGAAATTTTACCTTAGAAGGCAGATAAGATGGGTCCTAAAATCAAAGTTCGTGAAGACATCAAAGGACACGAGACTAAGCTAACGGCGCAGCTTAAACTAGAACGTGACGTGACTCGGCGATAGCCAACAAACGAAATTTGAGGTGCCTTGATAAAAGAAGACGATATTTTATCTTGTCAAAATTGTAAATCAACAACACTGAGCGTCATCAAACGGCACAGGGAGCTTACTGTCAAATACTACTGGTATGGCTGAATGAATCGATCCCGCGATAATGACACGAATTCAAACGTCAAACACTATATGTACGACAGAATTTGTCTAGTTTTCTAAGCGGTTTACTTCCGATTATGATTCTTTCAATAATAAACGTGCTAATACGGGGCTGCACCTCAGACAGAGTCATGATCTCCATCATTTTCTCCAACTCTTGCTTCCAAGGGGCCTGAAAAGACCGCTTGCAGAACGTTTAGGCCACTTTGTAGGACAAGGATAGGTTGTAATCTGATAAGTAGTCTGGGTTTCATGAACTTCCAAAATATCTTGGACTAAAAACGTGCATGGAAATTCTAGGATTGGTTTGCCCGTTCGAGTCATGGTTAACATGACAACTATCTGTTAGCTCATTCCCCTCCTTTCTTGATTGCAAAAAAATGTCGGGAAATAATTTGTATGGAACAGGTGGAGCCGCTTGAACTATTTGCAATCAAACCCGCTCACTTCATTTTGATCCCTTGTTTCCAGAGCTGTAGAGAAACTGTGTGAGGCAATAGAGCAACGAAGTGACTGCCATCATCGAAGAAATAAAACCTTGAGCTACCGTGGGTCAGACTGCCCAGGTGTCAATTTTTGCACAGGGCTGTGACACATGGTAAACGTGAATGTGGTGTTCACCGTGATTAGCCTTCAGTTTGCACTTTCAGTCGGCACTAACTGCGAAAGGTAGCCAATAATTCAAAACAGTCACGTGTTCCTTGTTGATCCGAAAAATCAATGACCCTAACCAGCCTGTCTTGTAGTGCGAAGGACTTCGTGAAATAAAATTTACAGTGAACAGTGCAATGTCCGTGGACATAGATTCAGCCGAAACGTTACGACGTCGTAAGATGCAAAAGGCGAATGATGTACACATGCACGCTATGGCTTCGCAGTATGGGGATCAAGGTATGCGTAACATACCCGCCTTAAATTCTCATGTGTATCACAGTACGCACAGGGATGGCGTTATGTTGTGGTCAAACCACTGAACTCATGAGACGAATGGTGCTTGTACACTTCTTACGCGGTCCTACTGGTATAGCTGTAAGTTTCCCGTTTTATCTGGATGAAGCCGTATTAAGCTACGCTTTTAGCTACGCATTTAGCAAGCGTTTCCCTGCTGGAAGGGGCGGTATGAGTCTTCGTGCAGAGAATTAAGGAACTTGTGTTATTGATGGAACACACTACTCACAAGGCCGTCGCAAACCATTTGCAGCCCACGACCGGTTTATTCCCTCATATGGTTCATCAAAAAGGATGAACCCGGTAACAGGCCATCTAAATTGTTTGGTAACAATCTGGGTAACGTGTTCCATCAAGCGGGTAAACTGCAATATATCGGATATCGTACCAACTGAAACATGATGCAGCACACCAATTCAAGAGTCTCATAGAGGAGGGACTCAGTTAGGATTCAGGCCGCCAACACCAATATTTTTTCGCCATCAGTAGTCAGTGTCTTGATAAATTGACCCATTTAAGGCAAGTAGTACGACAGGCGACGTGGAAGCTATCTAGACTAGAATCAAAAGAGTTTGCACAGCGTACTTTAAAATTCAGCAGATTATGGCTTTCGTTCGGGGTTACGGACTTATTGGCCTCTCCCTGGGGTGCGCCATTTCTTAAGGAACTTCATGCTAAAACCTTCCTGATAAGCATGCTTTTTGCGGACTCGTTAGGACGAGTGCTTTTGTTTGAAGGAACACCTGCCTCGTTGATGGTCTTTCGAATATGTCAAAGATTTGCCACGAACACTTAAATCACACGGCATCTTAGATTTATGTTCTAGAGAAAAGGAGTCCATATGAGCTGACTAGTTTATGGATTTGTTGTTGAATGGAGTGAACGAACAGAACGAACGCGCAGAAACCGTCATTCAACAAAGGCCTTTCTTATGTAGTACAACAACTCATCTGGGCGACTGAAATACTCCCAGTTGCAGGATTGCTTTGTCCGAGGGCTCTTACAGATAAATGTCCAAATACTAAGCAGTAACCAGTGCAGTTATACCACCTTTACTTAATAAAGTGCAACTAGATAGGAAAAGGGTTTATTGACTCTTAAGCAGATGTTCTTTCAACCGCGTAACTGTGATGCCCTTTGGCTACTATGCTATCCGAAGGAAGCCCGACGGTGGAGATACTGTCAGGTTGCCCAAACCCAAAAAGAAGCATCCGAGATATGGTGGGTGGATCCGAATAACCAGCCTTCCGGTTAGCGATCTCGCGCTCTAGTAAATGAGCTATTTGGACTTCAGATGTTTGACTTCCAGATCACATAATCTTTGCATAATATTAAGTGGTAATTCTATCATATGATAGTCTTCCTTCTTCTCTCAATAGGCTTTAAGGGGTGATCTTTTGAGAACTCACTCATTTATATCCTTCAAGAATCTCAACCAATTTCATCCGCACAAGTGAAAGATCCAACTAATTAATTACAGAGGTTTTTCGTGGTAACACGCTTTGTCGGCATATCCTTCATTCCGTTTACCGCCAGTTAATATTCGCTGTAAAGTCACTCCTCCGACTTCCACAAAAGTGGGCCGGAAGTTGCACTTTAGTTTCGATATGGTCACGGAGAAAACGTTTGTAGGTCTCCGTGGCAAGATTCTAGTATTTACTGTCATGAATTGCAAGTCCTACGGGATTCCCGTTTCCCGAAGGTACGGAAATTTATTCTAACTCGCTCATTTTGGGGGTCCAGAACCGGAGAGTTTAAAAGCTGTTTTGAACAATTTCGTTTTGTGGGACGACCAACTTTTATGTGAAGAGTCCGTCATGAAGGAATCGATGGTCATCCTTTCAGGTGACGTTTTTCGCTATTCCCCGTGTACCTGTTGTTTGTCCGAGCTGAAAATGGTGATGACTCTCCCCAGTAATGTGGTCATTCCCTCTACCCCAAGGAACGTTGCGAGTGTCCCCCCCCCACACACACACACACCGAAAAATCAGGATGACAGCCTGTATTTCCGTTCTCATGTAACAACGTTCAAACTGAGGCCACAACCAGTAATCATATTTTCGTCCAGACGATCGGTCACCAACAAGCCCGAGGTGATTATCGAACAAATAGCTAACAGGGTCAGCACGTAACTCATTCGGTGCACATTTTACGTGCAACCCGCCTGACACAAAACGGTTTACATTAGAGCTTGAATTGTTCTCAATCGACGACCGTCCTTCAACTTTTGTTCTCAAACATGCATAAGGAATTTCCGAAGAAGCGAAAATGACTGCTTTCAGATTTTTATTGCAGGCTTTCAGTTTATCCGTGTTATTGATTGTTGGGTCTGCTTTCTGGCCCACCGTCGGTCTGTTGGTCATCACCAGTCGAGAAGCCTCTTTGATTGGAGAGAAAGTAAGTAGCCTTGTGATTATCTTGTGCAAAAATTGTCTTGTTGCTGTTATTGTGCAGCCTCTCAAAGACCCGTGATATTCGCCTGCAGAAAATCTCATCATATTTCCGAAATATCCTGATGTTCGAGAGGACGACGTGCTTATACGTAATGCACTACTCCCGCAAAACCAAACTTGTTTGCAAATGAGTGTATTTCTCTAAGGACGACGTACTGTTTTTGAGGTTTATATCGATCAGTATTCCCTCGAAAGAGGCCATCTCTCAGAATCAAACGTTTTTGTGGTCATGTCTATCCCATAATAGACCATCTCCTGGTCTGTATATGTAGCCTCTCAACAAGGCAGGAAATGAATGACCCTCCGTACTTATGTGGAATAATCTAATCGATTACATACGTACAATATCGGTGCGAGGATTAGATGTGAATCATTCGCAGTTCCAACTAACCCTGGCTTTTTGGTTGTTTTTGTCTAGGCTTGGATTGCAAGGAGCCCGTGCACTGAAAAGATATTGCAGCCTAACGATTTGTATTATGTATTTGCACCAACTTGGTTCCTTTTTCTTCCAAGCACATCCAGGCCAAATTGTTTTTCGTTCATTTGGGGGAGAGGAACTCTAACGGTTGTCTAGACTTCGGTTTCAAGTGACGACTTGCGTCCCTCAGCAACTCAGTGAGGTACACCAGATAGTGCCATTGCAGCATTCACAGAGTTTCTCCTTCCAGACTGGTTAGCGGATAGAGGTCTGGCAGGCAGTGTTTTCAGTCCGTCCACTTTCGGAGTCACAGAATATGTGGTAACTTGTTGCTTAAAAAAGTTCGACTGTCCTGGTTGTCCGGTCAGATTTTTTAGGCTGGGGGCCGTCATTGTCTCCTTGTCTAGGGTTATGCGAACCGGCAACGGAGCCAGTATTAAATACACAATGAATTCACCTATATGCAGCGCTGGTTGGATAAAACGTGCGGGTGACGACGCCTCTTACCGCTTTTCATTATCTATTAGCCTTCATCTTATCCCGCCTAGCACTCACTCCTCGCTGTACAACAGCTTTAGACAAGCCAGTCAGGCACCCAGAAAAGTGAGAAACCAGCCTCAACCGTCTACATCTGCCGCTTCTTTTTCGATGTTCGAACTCCATCCTCCTCTCTTTACCGTAGACCTTAACGTGAAAAAGCCTAATCAGAGTGGCTAACAAGCTGTTACTGCACGCAATTTATATACCTTATAAATTTTCTGCATGTTTGAAACTAGAATGAAGAGTCCAAGTTTAAAAACTGATCTAACAGTACCCTCGCTGTTTAGGTACTATCACGTGTGAACTTAGGTGAGTCTACAGCTTCCGCAGAGGGTCATGCCTGTATTTGTGTGGTGTTCAGTTCGCTAAAAAAAGCTTCTTGAATCAACCGGATACCTGTAAGCAGCCGAACCCATGATATTCGGTTGTTCACCTCTACGAGAACTTGCAAGTCAAAATACTAATCTTAACATCCGCTTATGCGCCAACCAAATGCCGTTTCGATTTGTCCAAAGAAACGTATTATCAACAACTAACACGCCTCAGTTTATCAGATACACATCTTGGTAGTATACTTGATATGGACTCGAGACGGTCACCGGTGAGCGCTTGAAAGTGAACTTCGTGCTTTAACACATTTAAATATATATTTAGTCATGTAGCTCTACTTATGGCCCGCTGTGAGTTGATCATTCAGACACCGTGTGTGTATAGATCTCGGTTTTTGAAAGCATTCCTGAACAGGAAGTTCCACCTGTACTTGACCTCACGTTTGACGGACGGGTGTCTTATCGATTAAGCTAACGAGGACGCTCACTGTCTGTCAAGTTTGCGCATCTCAGTATGAAACCTCTGCCCAGTTATTTTCTGCCTTCCATTGATGAACCTTCTTAGGTTTTATTAATTCGCTTCGAGAAACTAAGTTGACGGCATCAAATTTTGACCCAAAGGGGCTTTGATGGGCTAATTAATGACACTGATAAATACAAACAGTAACTCTTTTGAGCAGAGGTATGGCTAACCGGCTGTTCGGAGCGCGAGTGCTCTCGATGGCTCACTCGCTGGAGCAACTGTCCGCGTCCACGCCCCTCCCTAGTTGCTCACTCTTGTTTGTGATATATGTACATGGAATTCAATTATCAGTGTTAAGTTAGCTTGAAACTTCATCACTCTGAAAGTGCATGCGGTAATGCGGCTGAGCGGAATCACCGAGATCACGCACAACAGCTCAGCAAATAACACGGGTACTCAGAAATATGAAACTGCGTGCAATTTTGACGAATGTTGCACTTGTTGGTCTTGCGACTTATGGGAAGATATGTCATTGCTACACTGTTGTGTATTCCAAGTGCAGAGTCCTACATAGGTAAAAGCTTTTGGTCGAAAGTCAATCAACCCCTCAGGTGAGACGGACCAGCCGGAAAACCCGCATAATGCGGGGTTTATTGGGTGCCTGTCCAATAGTCTCTGAACTGGTAGCTGATAGGCAGGCATACAGCAGGTGCCTTAGATCGTCAGTATACTGTTGAATTTGTTCAACATTTCAGAAACCATTCATTAAGATTTTCAGTCATCAATCTGCATGCTCTGAAGAACTATCGGAAAATCTCTAAGGAATCAAGTGTTAGGCAGGCAGCTAGAAGAGTGTGAGAAGTGACAAGTCCGGTCCGAGTGCTGTATGGACAAACTGATTGAAAAAGAACTTCAAATCTCAGGTCTTAGATTCAAGGTCACAAAATTGGAAGGGGCACCTGTAGCACATGCAATGGCGCCAATATTTTTCACCCAGTATCAGCCTGTTTAAACGTACTCGTCTTACTAAAAGATAGAAAGAAGAATTTCTCCTTTTTTGGGCGACTGTCCACGAGATCGGGTAACAGTATCGTGGTCGTTTCACGGAAATGACTTCACACCAAAGGTGTCTCTTTTAGGCACCTGCTTTAGTTTCTTTTCGGTTTTCACTCTTATCCTCAACAAACAAAAAAGTCTCCCAAAACAGTGAGATCCTCGCTATATTCCTGATATGTGTGTTGCTTTGATGATGAACCCACAGAAAAAATGTAACATTTATTACCATCAGCCAACTGGTGAATGAGACACTGAGAACAGACAGAAATTCGATCAACTGCCAAGTCATCCCCGTGTTGCAGAAATCGGCTTAATCTGACTAGATATCGGTCACATGACAAAAGCAATCATTAGTTGGACAAGACACAGTGTGTGCACGCCCTGTATGCCGCCCTCATCCATAACCCATGCGACCACATTCCTGTTGGTTCTTTGTAAACGATCGCATTGCTTTCTTGTGTTTACTGTGGCAGTCAATCAAGCCCTCCCGCGTTCCTGTGAACCTGAAGAACTGGCTGGTAGGCTACGAGGGACAGCAGGACGATCCGACTCTCGTAGACCTTAGTCAGCGTCTTTGGACATACCTTGGTAAACTGCAAAAGGATTCAAACCCAAGACATTGGTGTGGCACACTACTCAATTGTTCGAAACGTGTCTTCGATGAAACCAATCCCACACGTTCTTCCCTACTGTATCCTCTCAACACTCACTACATATTTTTGGTTCGTCGCGTCTACGGTAATATCCATGGCTATCACAGCTACGCACCATACCAGGCATTTTTTTCTCCAGGTGGGTTGTCAGGGTTAGCAACTTAAACTTTGGCCCTTGTCTGAACGCCATACAAGATTGGGTAGTATACCTCCACCTCTACAATAAATCGTTTTTTTTCTCACACAGTGATGACAAAAATAGCGGTATCTAAGATGAACTGATTCCACCTGCATCACTGGAACAATACAAACTGGATTCTTGCAATTTAAGCGAAGAGTGGTCCTCAGATCCATTCCTAGTGCGGGCAGATAAAATTAGTCAAAAGAATTTGGGTGTCACTTGTTACATGCTTCGTATCCAGAGGCCACTCAGAGATCAGGGAGGTAGTGAACAGTGAACAGGTTACCTGAGCTTGAAAGTTGATTGGAAGATTGCTACTGGAGTAAATTAACTGACCTGTTCACTTTGTTTTGAATGAATAGGCTCATCTGCAAGTATCCATCTTATTGAATAGACACTCATCAAATGCGGTGCAGAGTACATTTAGGGTATAGCTCTACGTTGAGAGAATACCTTATCATCTATGTGTTATCTGTCTATTCTTCTCTTGTACGCTCAAAACTGCTTCGCAATGGGCCTGAAAATGAAGACATCGCAATGAGTGTTTATCTGCCATTCAAACAGCAAGTTGATGAATTCTTTTATAAAGTGAGTCTTTCTGTAATTCCTTATTGTTTTAGAGATATGCTATTATTAAAGACATCATCATCATCATGATTGTCAGCTGTAAGAACCGCGTACTTGGGGTAGGTAGCTGCGCATTGGAGGTATTGATAAACCGCTTTGTAGATACAGCACTGTCAGTGGACTGTTAAGTGAGGGGATTGGGAAGGGAGGTACGCATTCAAGGCAACGGCTTGGATGCATGAGTGCCATTGAGGGCGCGACTAAGCCATGTCTGACAATGCCTCTACCCATTGATGTGCCCTGTCTCAGGGTCCCCACCTAGAAAGACGTCAGCGATCCCGGAAGCTAAACAAGGCAACCGTTTGAACTTGTTGGCTCTTCTAATCAAGTCTCATTTAGTTTCAAGCAAAATCTCTTCCTCCTCTTCTTCCTCGTGTTCGTCATTATCATCGTTTTCATCGTTAGCACCATCATTATTATCACTATCACTACCATTATCATCATCATCATCATCATTATCATCATCATCGCCGTGAACACCAACACGTTCGAAGTGATAAACGTCAAATCGCAAGTAAGAGACGGGCCTCGGTGCGTTTGATCCTGATCGAGTGCCCCTTCGCTGCCGTTAGGGCATGGTTTAACAAAGCTAAACGTTTAATGGTACATGGTGTGTACTTTTGTGCCGCACTGAATCGTGAAATGAGAAGACTCTTGAATAGAGTCGGTCGAGTCAGAAAACCAGGTAAAAACGACGCAGAGTTCTAAATCTGTGTTCTGAAGAAGCCGGCATAACTGAGCTACATGTTGTTCAAAACCGAAAATTTTTCTTCCTCACCTTAACATAAACAGTCACTATTTCGCCTTTGTTGTTCAGCCTGTTTGTCCGCAAGTTGTGGCCTTGTGTAGCACCTTAGATCATGTATATTTTGAATAGTGATACTGACCAGCTGGTTTATAGACCTATTCTTTCTTGGGATCGCTTTCATTAAGACATCGATGTGACTAACAAATATATACAAATTAGCTATGGGGTCACACAAGCACCATATCACAAAACAAAACTATTTCAGCACACGGCCTTGGAGCGCTGAATAATCAATAGGAATTAATCAGTAGATAATAAGCCTAACTAGTTAGTATACACTATCACCGAGACCTCGCTGTGTTAGAAGATGAATATAGCTGGCATTTTCAGGTGATCTTGCTTGGAATCTGAGGTCACCAGATGATAATTGGAATTTCACTCAACTGTGGCCTTCACACGGCAAGGCACTGCACGTCAGTGATTCCCTTATGGGACGGGTTTCACTATTGGCTAGTTTTGGTAGAGAGGTAAGAAAGTTTGCTGATTTGAATCCAAGTAGAAATTGAACTGACGAATTCAGTGTCTATTTTATTCGCCGTTGAAAATATCCGTTCTTAAATAGAAGCCAAAAATTCCATTATTCTCCTGTAAAGCGAAACAAGATACCGACCTTTTGAACTCACCATCAATTTGTTGTTTCGGGATCTAGTTAGAGAAGAAGGTAATACACAGTAATAGCTAAACTCCTGCATGGATGAGTCATTACATCCTGATGTTGCGATAGAAAAAACCTGGAGACTATATTAGAGTTATACATCTACTTCGGTAAGCTGACTGCAGTGCCTATCTGGGAGGGTTCTACTGAGACAAGCAAGTACATAATACCATAAAACGATTATTCAAAATCTGTTGCCAGTTTTGACATGTTATGGAGCTCATCAAGCAGGTGCGATCCAGGGGATTCGCAGACTTCCGGAGCACTTTCTCTGAGACCGCCTGCGCCCTTCGAAACCGCTGAAACCGGAGACCAGTTCCTCGTATTCGGTATCGCAATGACGTTTTTCCGCATAACGTTCACATTGCAAACTGATCCGAGATCCCGTTGCAAAGGTATTCAGTTGTAGATGTTAAAATCGGCATGTTCCCTCTATTAAAAAGGTTCATGAATGTGACTGATAACTGGGAACTTAAACATTTTTGGCTCATTACACTTGGTTTTCATCATTTGGTTGAGAGTCCTGTGGGAACTTGTTACGCCAGGTGACTTGAAATTTTGGACAGTGAAACATTTAATTGCGCCGTCACAGGCCCCTTGGTATATCGATGTAAACCAGCTTAATGTGCCCTTCCTAGTCGTGCCGCCCAACTGTGCTATTACCCTTAACGCGTTGTCCCATGAGTGAAGTGAGCCTTTTTAAGCTTGATTTGTCTATACTGCTTAACCAACGGTTTAGTCCTCCACTACTAGCTAGCAGACCGTAAGTGTGACTGTACTGTTCGTGGACATAAGAGGTTTGTAGTTTACCGACCTTTCAGTCACAGATGTTGCCGATGCCCAAGAAGATGGCGTGTACAGCTAGCTTCCATTACGTCCTCTTAGATAGGCTGATCAAAGGATGAATGAGAACACCATATCCAAGTGAGCGAGTACGATGGAAGTTTTAGCCCTCAAATGTGAAATCGTGTTTTTGCCCGAAGCAGGGTATGAAATGTAACATTGTTAAGCCGACAAGTGAAGCGAAATAAATATGGCCGAACCAAGCCACATTTGGTGCTCAGACTGGTCGAATCATCATAATACCCGTTTCTTCTACCATACCTGTTCCTGTCCACAATCCTGTTATTACCTCGTTTTGGTCTTTCAGGAGCACCAAATCAATCTGGAAAATTCTACCAGCCCCCCAAAGCTGAACGTTCGAGTTGCTGCCTTGAAACGTGACGTCTACGCCGAATCACCGTTTCGATGGTCTGCGGAAAACTATGGGAAGCAGTTTATCACTAGCATCATTTGTGCACACCAGTATCTGGGCACGGCCTGTCTGGTCGTATGCATCGCCAGCCTGATGTGCTTGGACAAAGAGACAGGGTTTCGGCCATTAATGGCTCTAATGGGAATGCGGCGGATATCCTACATGTTGGCTCATTTCATTGTTTGTCAGAGTAGGTGGACTACACTTGTATGGTTGAGGAATTCTGATCAAGTCACGTGATTCTTCTCTAGTAGGGCGTGAGTGGCCGTGAGGATCATTTTGTCGACTTAACATCTACCAGTTTCTGCTGAAGGCTTGCTTCAGGATGTCCAAGTTAGTAACTGCTATTCTGGTAATGAGTAACGACGAACAACTATCATTCACTGAGAATAGGAGCATCACCAACGAACAGGTTTCAAACACATTTTGTCCACAGCACGTCGACCCAGTCAGTGTCAAATGACCCAAGTCGTTAAATCATTGTCATCATTTATAGCAAAACACCAGTACTACATACGGATGCTGAACTGCGATTAACCGCGATTAACTTGGTGGGGAGAAGGTTGTAGTAGGGTAGTCCGAGAAAAAGAGGAGAATCGATGTCATGGTTCAACACAACGGTAATCTCACCGAAGGAATACCTCGGGAAAATGAATACTTGGCTTTGTGTAAATGAAAGAATTTGATCCCACTTCAGTGGTTCGCAACGGTGGTTTGCCCCAGCCTGTGTCCAAAAGCTATTCTCTGGCACAGCTGACAAAATTAGTAAACACCAAGCAAGCAACCACACTATGAAAATCGTAGGGAAAGGGCTTTTTGCCTCTCCATGGTTCCCTAAGTATCCTGTAGAAAAGTAAAGCGTAGGCCTCAACATCGGTGTAAAAAACCCATTGAAGCATTTCTCAGAAAATTAAGAGAAAATTCAAAAACTGTTTTCTCCCAAACGAGACCTAGTATCTTCAAGTGAATAGGTCCTCTAATAGAAAAATAGGTATAACTCATACTGAATCTCTTTAGTTTCAAATATAGGCTGCACGCATTGCCTCATCTCAAACTGCTTAATTTGCCCCGGTAAATTTATTTGTGATTCCATGCTTGTTTTGATCTCTGTGTTTGCCGGACCCCCCTTTGTGCTAAGCATAATCTCAGTCCGGTCGACATCTTGATGGATACCGATGAGTGACCAGAACCCAGTGTGCAAAGATCTCATGGGGATAACTGAATTCTGATACCAAAGTCTAACTCTGCTGCACGGTTTGGCATGCGCTTCACACCTGCAAGGTGTAGAGTGCTGCTACAAGACTGTGTGGAATCAAACCCACACCTCATGCTTGCAGGTGGGCCAATAGACGTGGTTTACATGGGCAGCTGTATAAGTCCCGGTGGACTGGCTGGAGATGACATTATTTCTCGAGTCGGAATGGTCAGGGCAGCTTTCGTCAACCTCCGACACCCATGGCACCGACGTGACGTGAGATTGTCTGTCAAGGGAAGAGTTTACACCGTGGTGGTGCGATCCATACTGCTTTATGGATCAGAGACGTGGCTCCTATGTGCAAAGGACATACGGGACATGTCAGTGTTTGATCATCGGTGTCTCCGAAGCATTGGTCAGGTCTGGTGGGAACATCGGATTAGTAATGCTGAGATACACCAGATGGTCTTAGGAAGAAGGAACTCTCCTGGGATAGATGAATTACTCACGCTTCATAGGTTACGCTGTTGGGACATGTACTCCGCATGAGAGAAGACCATCTGCCTCACAGAACTCTTTTCTCCCAGCTCTGTACTGAGCGGAAGCAACCAAGAGGTGGACAATGCATGACCTGGCAACGAAGTACGAAAACATCAACCAGTAAACTAAGTCGGGTGGGCAACTGCGGCCTCCCTAGATGGAGACCCCGGGACTCAAATCACCAGTGATTATTGACGTTGGTGGAAACGGGCCAATCACGCAGTCAATGACACTCGTGCATCAAAGCTATCGCCTTCAATGCATAGCTATCCGATTTCCGAACAAACTGAACATGCCTTCACCTCCAAGGCTTGGTTTTATATTCCACTTTCCCGTCTTTCGGTGATCAAAACTGTAGCAGCTGGAACCAATGTGCATATGGCACACGGTTTATAGCTGATAAATTGATTAAACTGACTCAGAAAAGTTCTGGGATCACCTCAACGAGATTTCTCAGCAAAAGTTTCAGCCACTTCTTCAGGATCTCTACCCCAGACTGTACACCATCTGAAATGCTCTGCTTGAAATCTGTCTCTAATTCACCCACTTGTGTTTGTTTTCATCCGTGTGTTTTTGGTGGCCGCTAACGCTAGCAACAAAATGGTTTGCAAATAAATACCTAGTAACGAAATAGAGTCGCGGTAGCACCAGGTAAAGCTGACCAGGTTAAGGTAGTTGGGAAATGTACCGCGGCTGAATAGCAGTGTGATTAGTTCTCACCGAAACACATACTAGTATCACATTGTTATCAATTTATAAGTGGCTCATAGAAAGAATAATTTCACAAGAAGCTTCTAGGTGGGGAGGCGGTCAATATGTGACCACCTGATGCGGTTTCCGTGATTCGAAATTAGTGGCATCATGTCCAGTCTAAGTGATATCGGCCGATCGTGGCCAAACGTATCACTGGTCGGAAGGCTGCGGTTTGAAACTGAATTACTTGAGGTATGTATGACATGGTGCCGCTAGAATGAGGTAGATTCTCGGTTGGCAAGTGGGTTTAACACGAAAGCTACGTGACGAGTTGGAACAGTTTAAACAGGTGTTTCCAATTTCGCAAAGAGCCTATGAACTCCCAGTCGATACACGGTGCTATGAGACCTATCTATAAACCGTAGAACGGTCACCACAACCATGGAATTCAGTTCTCATGTGGGCAGTATTTGGAAGTGTGAGGATCACAGGAGCACAATACCACACTGGACTAAGTGGACGGGATTAACCCAAAACACACGATACTTCTGACAATTCTGCTCCCCACACCTCGCATACTGCCTTGCAGTCTGCACCTGGCAGTGTACAGCTTTCTAGCCTGTACACTACCAAGGACCAAAGCCGTGGCCCCGAGGATGTCGCTCATACACAACTACCTGTCTCTCTCCATGACTGCCCCAAATATGCTGCTGATCGTGTTGCACAGGTAGTATCTATTTGGGCTATTTTAAGGGCTCTTTACCCTGTACCGGGGGAAAATCAACTTAAGATATGCGTTTTATGCTTCGAATCAAAGAAAAAGTAGTTCTTGGCGTCTCGAGACGCGTAACAGTTGATCGTATTGATTATGTGTGCCACCAAACCCCCAGTTACCAACAACTCGTTTTTTTCGATGACGATATTGATGGGAAATGTACTCACGGATTCGACCAGGACCAATACCCATGGTTCGAACCCGACTTTAGACTCACAACTTTTCTTATGTAGACTTGGGAAGCCTGGCACTTTCTCAGCCCTCGCGCTTTTCTCGAGCTTCTTGGCACTCATGCACTGAAAGGGTTCCTTCCACCTTTTGACCTTCATTTTCAGTTCATCTACATTTGACGAGTCACTTTCGGTACGTTCACTCAAGTCAGACACATCGTCACTAAATCAATGAAACCCATGATCACGAGATTTAAGTCGTGAAACAAACGTATACTAGGCCCATCTAAGCAACCCAAGCTGAGACCACCTTGACAAAATTCATGTTACCAAAATAGAATTCTCAGCATTGTTCCTTCCAGAATAACCCTTCCGCAAGGGTAAAGTGACACTAGATATACCTATTTCCGGACCAAATGTGGCTGATAATACGATTTTCAACTCTACCTGATTCTTTTTCTTTGCAAAAGTTGGTGTTCTCCCTTTGGCCGCTTTCGGAACACTGGTTCTGTGGACTCTGGGTGGAGATCTGTCAAAACACCCTCTGACACCCACTGAATACGGACAGATCTTCGGCACTAACATTCTCCTCAGCTGGCATCAATTTGGCATTGGTCTGATCGTGTGCGCCTTAGCACGGTCTACAAGGATGGTGTTATTCCCGTTACTCGCTCTGTTTGCGATGGGAGTGGTGGCTCAGCTCGTTATGATCAACCAGGTGTTTGAGGACGTGTGAGTTTTCTTTTGTAAATCGCATGTGGCCGAAGTTTTGGACAGTGAATCTCAAATTCGAGTTGTAGATTTTTCAACTAGGTAGACGTTGATTGGTAATACTACACTTTCGCCTAATACAAAGGGCTAAGCTCCGCCAGCTTGAGAGATAGCTCACTCACCCGACTGCTTTCATCTTGTGTTAGGGCAGCCGCTCGATGCATTTTCAGGTCCTACTATCTTATCTGACCAGAAAAGATCACATAATCACCGTTAACAGATATGTTACGGCATGTGGCAATCGACCAAGCGCGTCACTAGTGCCGAAATTGTCAGCACTGCTGATCGAACAGACAAACAAGCAGAGTTGATTTCATGTTATCAGCACCATTGCAGCGAAATGCATTGATTCAAAAACTTATGCACACACCACTGACAACCAAAAGCCTCGGATTTGGTTGCCATTAGCATCTGTTTGTTGCCCAGCTTGTACTAGTGGCCTGAAATTAGATGGGCGAAGGTCACGTTTCAACCATCGACTCTCGAGTCAGCTTGATTGATGTCTCTTAAAAGTTAAATTTTCTCCGATAATCTGGATTAGCCTCAACACCATAGACATTAGTCTGCTACGACTGACCAAGGTAGAACTGTTAACCGTCCATACTGTTTGCTACAGTTTATAGGGAATCGGAAGAAAGGCTTAGCACGGCAGGACCAGTACCATAGAAGCTTCTATCTTCAACAAATCTATCCTGGATTGCGGATTGACCTGATGTATTCAAAGGCCTTTATTCAGAGGTCTGGATCATATTTTCATCTGATAAGATGAAAAGCTGGATCGGAGTGGCGAAACGGTGAGGTTGTTGTTCTGAAGAAACTGGAAGTTTGGACAATTATTTCACTGAAAGATCCTACCGCCAATGGTCTTCAGGATGCGAGACCAAATCCTTTATTGGTTTTGACATATACAGTTAGTCAGTAGGGCCAATTTGTTCGTTTTCCATGGTTTATCCGTAAATCTGACATTTCCCGTTATCTCCATGGGTGAACATTGGGTGAACACACCCTGTGGTTTATGTCTTTGTATAGTGTATACACTATTTTTTTTACTGGCAATCGACAAACTAGTGATCAAGTTAGACGCTACAAAAATCAGTACCGTTCACCAGGTCAAGCTCGCCAACAACAGACTGGTAACTTGTGCACAGGTGACCTGACACATGAGTGGACGCGATAGAGACGAGTGAATGTATGTGGGCTTATGAGTCATTCACTGCCGGATGTAACTGGCCACATAGGGTTGAGCTTTGCACAGTTGCACAGTTTGACACTAGACTTTACCTTTGAACAAAATACATTGATGAGTACAGTCATCTAACAATCGAATGGTTGTGAGGATGATGAGGAGGAAGAGTACGATGATTGAGCGGTCATTGTGATGAGTTTGACCGATCAGCAAATTTTGTCTGAAGAGGTTGTCATTAATCGCGTTTCTCTGGGTTTTCTAAATTGACAATAATTCCACTTTCTTGCAGCATTTCAACTCAAACAATCGATCTTTCCCGTTTCCGGGTTAGCGGGTTCACCATGTTTCCAGAATGAACAAAACATCATTCTTTGTTACTGTGGTGACAAAATAGAAGCCAGTGGCTTGTTACTATAACAAATTTATGTATTTGATTGGGGTGGCGTGACTACTATCTAATAATCATGAACTGTGAATGTTTCCAAAATCAATCAGCCTGAGACAAATCATAGTTGTGCGTCTCATCAAAATGAGTTCCCATCGACCCTACGATTCCTCCAGCATTACGGGTAAGCAGCGCACGAATGGAGGGCGTTATCGGAACAGATCAGAACAGGTTTGTCGTCTTGTTGATAGAATTAGGGTCAAGTAGAGGTCACCGATGCAAGCACGTGTTCAAGGGACAACAAAATGACCTTGGTAACAATGTATCAAGTAGCCGACAACGGACAGGCCTGTTTCTCATTCTACGGTATGTAAACCCAAATGAGATAATAACATGTGAAATGAACCAGTCTGAAGACAAATCAAGCCTGAGGCCGGGAGAGGAAACGACGAGTTCTATCCAAGATAACCAGGAAATAATAGATCAGTGAAAGAAAACAGGAGGTAGAAATGCTAATTGGTCTTGCATGGGATGATAGCCTATACCGGGGAAGTAGTTGCACATTGTGGATATAAAATTTAAACTTGGAAATCTGTTCGTTAAATAGGGAATTCGTGATACATCAACTCCGTGTCAGATTTAACATGTATCAATCAGTAAATCAACGATAACGGACGGAAGGCAACACGATTGGACCTTATATTGGTGTGCCGGTTTGTGTACCTAGGTGACGCTTTGAAGTATACTGGGATAGGGAGTCACCTTTGCACCAGCAGAGTTTCTCATGACAATTTGGTCAGTGGATAGAGCACGGTCTCCTAGTCCTCCAGGTTGGTGGTTAGAACAGGCACAGTGAGTTGTTTCTTGAAAGACTGGTAATACCAGGGTGGTATATTGACACCGCCTTGCCATATGCATTTTGAGTGTATTTTCCGAAACATACAGCAAAGTGTCTTGTACCCACCAATAGTGAGATGTCTATTAGCATATTTTGGCTCGTGGTGCGGATACGCAAATCCTTAATGGGCAAAACTTAAGTGCGTGGTTTGCCTCCGAACTTTGGTTAAAGAGACTTCGGTGACTGGAGATCCACCTGCTCGCTAGTGGACATCCGAATGACACGGGATCTCATTCAATCTAAAAGTCTTGTTTATTAGGGTATCCGCTGTGCGCGATAAAGCTAACCAAGGTATACCCGTTCTTTGAGGTGAGGAACAACCACACCGTTGATAAGACGAGTGATCGCCAACTTCACCAACGCACATGGTCAGATCTCATATCCACAGTATTCGGCTTTAGATACTGAAATCAAAAATTTCCAGAGAATTGGAACTCGGCACCAGGTGAGAATTAATAAGGGGAAAAGAATATGGAAACTTGAACATGTTTTAAGCGTTCCCGATGCGAATTACTGCGGTTCAGGATACAATCCGGCTGCTCAGAATACAGTAGAGATGTGATGTGAAACACGTTTCACGGGTTAGCAAGACTCGATGGGTGACGTGTAACATTTTGTTAAAAGGTGTGTGGTCAAGCATTACGCGCATTACAGGCTGAATAAGTTACTGAAAAGCGCGACTAGTGCTCATTTGACTGGATCCCTTACCCGGTGAGTTGTATATACCGACGAAAGAGATCTATTTTCTGACGACACCGAGCTAAAGTCATTTGACGAAGAGTGGTGAAGAAGCATCTCACTGGTTGTTACATCAGACTTCTGTCCCCGTTCTAATGCCTAGTGCCGAAAAAAGACTCACCGATAAGGGACACAACAGCTTTATTGCGAAGAAGCGAGTGCGAAAGCGTGAGTGCGAAAACACAACAGCCTCAAACTCTTTTATTGGAGTCTTGCTGTCTGACCTTGGTTCTATGCTGACTCACGCTGTCTGACTTTGATGCAAGGCTGTCACGTGCTCCATGTTGAGGGGACGTTGTCTGTCTGGTCAGCGTCCAGTGGAGTTGAGGGTCGCAGTAGATTTTGGGCACTCAGTGGTTAATTTCAGGAATCTGACCTTTCTGATACTGGCCCACTCTGGTTAGCGTCAGTCAAAGCTTATATTCGTGTTGAATCATCGTGAAGGCCCATAAACCATGTTTTCTGAGGCTAGTCACTTGTCACCAATCCGAAAAATATGGTTATAAATCCACATTCCTCCTCTCTACTGTCGTACAGTGTGTATGCCCGCCTCTTTACTTAACCCTGTCTCAAATCCGCCAATCTTTTCAGCTTTATGGTCCCGTTCCATTCTGTTAGGTTGTTCCTTCAATCAGCGCTTTTTTTCATTAGACGATGTAAATGCCTTTTGGCGGTGACGCTGTAATCAATCAAAGGTTGAATAGCCAACTTCAACAGCCATACCTAAACGAATCGTATAGCACCGTCGCGCTCCCACGGCAATCGCGAGTGAATAGGGCACAACAAGCTTCCGGAATTAGTAGTCATTCTGTTACGGCGGTCACTCGCGTAAGTTCGTCGCATTCAGCAAACCAGGAATGACCTCGAATAACCTAAGGGAAAGGACCGCCGGCAGCAACCAAGACAACGCACACGCATGCAAATTCACTTAATGTGGCCTAACGGTAGGCAGAGACCAATATTAAGACCAGGACTAATGGGTCACGCACACAACGCACACACACACACACACACCTTGTGGAACACATGACTCTTGTTTGAACAATCGTCCTCCTGTCCTCGCGCAGTCATCCTGGTGAGTTCAAACCAACGGGGAGAAAGCTCATCATGGCGCAGATCCGATGGCCGTGCCGGAGTTTGAACTCCGAAATGTGACATGCAAGGCGAGCGTGTTGCCACTACCTCACAGCACACACTGGACTCATCCGCATTTTTACGTCTGATCAGGTGAAAATGTTCGCGCTTAATTGATGTGATGAAGTACAGTGATGACGTACAGTATGCTCACATGCGCGTGTACATACTGCCCCAATCCTGGCAACGGTCCATGGACAGCTTACAAATCTGGCTTGGTGTTGCGTCAGCCTCTGCCTAGTCTCCCGAGAAGAGTTAACCGTGGTAGCCGAAAAGTTGGACAAGTACATGACATCGTAGGGTTCTGACTAAACCTCATTCACAAACCGTGGTTGGTTGTCTGACTGTTGTTTATGTCACTGAGTTAACTTTGAGGAAGGTGCTTCTGTTGGTGAGTCTGTGCGTGTCGGCATTTCCAACGAAGACACCAGACTAATCCTAATGGCCCACAGTTAAGCTACCTACGAAGACTCACCATGGGGCCAACTTTATTTTGTGGGCTGACTACAGTCGAGGAATGGAGCTAAATTTGAAGATTACTATCAGCGAAATGAATATTGATTTGTACATGCTGGTAGCTTCACCTTCCTCGACCGCCAGATGATAGTACCTGACCGTCAGGGTTAGTGTTCGGTGCACTTCAGTCTGTCAGCTGAAAACAACTTACCAACATACTTTTGTTAAAGCTGTGACAGTTGCGTTTGTTGAGAGTGAGGAGAATGGAAGGATGACGCCGACAAAATAGAGGCAGTTGACCACCGAGTTCTCTGACCACGCATTAGAGACGATAGTTTCAATGTTTGGGCGTCACCGGTTGGGCAACTGAGTATCCCCATCTGTACCGACGACAGCTGCAAACCAATGGAAGAATCTGTAACCCATCATCTGAATTCGAAGCGAGAAATACCTAGGCTAAGAAAAGACTAATTTCATTCTTGTCCGTCTGCGATGAGTGAAGCACGTATGGATGTAATATCTAGAGAAGACAACACCTTTCATCACGTCGTTCATCACTTGGGTCCGGCAGACATTTGATACACCTAAACCATTCAGTCATCGGGTAGCCTGGGATAGCTAAACCAGTAGGCAAATGCTTCAGAGACAGTCCTGATGTCTAAATCCTGTTCAAAACAGAGTGTGACGATTCTAGGCCGTCAGGTCTATCACAATTACACAGGAGGCCCCTCATCCAAGACATTTCGCTCACTGAACAGGTCAGCATCGTGACAGATGACTTAAGGTCAGATGTCACGCACATCATCACGCAGTCCTTCAGACAGTTACTGCCATTCCATACCCACATCCAGCTGAAGTAGATGAGTCAGACAGTAGCATAAAATCAATTAATGACATTAGTTTGTCAAGCGACACGTGCTGGTATTGTGAATGATAAATACTGAAAGGCTCTAACCGTTGGTCGTGCGGTCGGTTGGCAGCGATTTTCAGTGTGCTAGTAGAAGCAGCTTACGTTAGAACCCAATGGCAAATCGGAAGCATGTACATAATATGCCACCAGTAGCCGTATCGAGCAGCAAGGGGCCTCACAAAGAAAACTCGATCAAACCATCCTTTGGCAACACGGATTCCGGACAGTGGCCTCCGACTACCTGTCGATCGTCATTCTTTGCACTTGTAAAGCAATACCACTGCAAATAAGCAAGGAATCCTCGTTTTCAATTAATAAAGATCCGGGTAACTAGAGCAGTGGGCAATGCCATTGATTTGGAAAGCAACTCACTTGTTTGCGAAGCAGTGAAAAACTTTAGCGAAAAATAACTGTGGTCTCCGGGAGGAACTGCATGTATGTGTTCTTAACGACATCTCATAGACCAAAAATGTATCTTGACGAATTATGACGCAAAAATTTTGTCATAATGCACGTTACGAATGTAGCGTGCCTTTTGTAATTCGCTTCTAACTGACTAACGAGCGGAACAGCGGGCTTTCGGATCAGCACGATTTTATGTAATATGCTTAGAGCACAACCAGGTACGATTCACGAATTTGGATTGCGGTATGAGAGCTTCCCTTCTGTGTTTATTTTTGTACATTTTTATTCTCACCATTCCTGGTGTTACGAGAAACGCACTTTAATCGACCCACACAGTACATCACGCGACAGACATGCTTGAGGTAAACGGCACTCTCCTCTGAACCTCGTTGATATGATACAACCCGACTTATTCGAGTTGGGTCCAACTTCATTGCTGATAACACGAGAATTAAGCAGTATTTTCCAGCTAAACTTTAGATAACGTGAAGCGAGGAGTGATAATTCAAGAACGTCTCTTTCCTTCGACAGCCCATGACGGTATCGCCATTCTTGGGACTCATCAGATAGGCGCAGTCCAGGAGTTTCCGTCGACCTCATGTTCTAGTTGAAACGGAATTGCACGAAATTAGCAAAATACACTTATTTGCAAACGAATTAGGTTTTGCGAGCGACTCGCCTGGAACCCTGCTGAATCTCTCCTTTATGATGTTTCTGAGCAACTGAATGTACTGTACCAGGCCGCCCAATGTCTCAGTTAGAAACATCATACACGAAAGATTCAGCTGGGTTTAAACACTTGAAGTCAAGTCTGCGGCAGGAAAGCATACAAGAAAGCATTGCTGAAGCAGGTCAAGCCGCATTTATCTTATACGCAGTGCAAGTGCGCTGCTGCAGAAGTTCAGGTCGAATGGCACTACCGGAAACCAGTACTAATAATGGGCAATAGTAACACTGAATTTACCAGTCTTGCTTGCCTGTTTACTAAACACAGTGGTCACCTCTGGTTAGCAGCGGGCTCTACCAACGAGGCGGATGCGAATAAGAATTCAAAATTTCGTGATATCTAAAATTTTGTGGGATGCGAACATAACCGGATGACGAAACAGCGGATATCGTGTGTACTTGACGGCCTCAGCCTCATGAAGCCCTAATTACGGTTTTTGAGTATCAAATGATCAGCAAACGTACCTCGAGGGCGATAGGCGGAAAACGAACACGTGACTGTTTCTCTTGTGCTTATCTGATGAGTTTCAATCAGGAGAAAATACCGCATGTGGTAGGGCTCAACTGAATGCATCAGAGTTTCTATATCCAACGAAAATTCCTGTCATTCTCTGGCTTTCTCACTATAAAATTGGTTAGAAAATTCCTGATTCTGTGTATTCTATCATTGTTTTTTCCTCAGGACTTGGCATCGATGGTCCAAAATCGACAACTATGGGTATATAGTTCCAAGCTATGCATACTCATCTCTTATGCTGCAAGTGAGTTTATATTCAAGTTAACTCTCAGTTCTATGTTTTCTCCTTTAGGATATCCTGTTAGGAGGAGTGAAATATCCTGTCGTGAATTATCCCAGTACGCTACGTCATCATACACCCAGGTGTATGATGATGCAGACAGATGTGAGGAAAGAACACATATCGCAATTCTGCATCGTGAATCTCACAGCGGATCAGAACAGGATTAAAGTGTTAGTTGTCAGCACCAGAGTTCTGGTAATGAAACCGCTGTCTCTTCGCACAGGATGGTACGCAGTTGTCTACTAGCCATCTGCAAGTAGTCAGTTTTACCAGATGAGAGATAAAATCAAACCTATGATTCCCTGTGGCCCCTTTTTAAGTCAGCCAAAGGGACAGAAATGTTACGAATGATAGCTGCTTGTGAACGGCCCGATTTCTATCTCTAACTTGCATTCGGTCTAACACATCATTGTTCCACAACCAGTACTCTTCCTTTGTAATATGTAGTATATGGTAGTATGTAGTAGTTATTGATTGCTTTTCTAGGGAGACATGCCCAGCAAAGTATATATTGCTGCTGACGGCAAAATGCTAAAAAATAAGATGTCGCTGAGACGGTTCAGCTACTTTAGCCGCTCAGCATTGTAGCAACAGATCCATAGTAGGAGTACAGGACAACAACTGAAATGCCGGACGAACTTTTGTTTCAGTTAGTGGATGAACTGGAATTGGTTCCAGAGGAGATGGATATTTGAGGCAGTAATCTTTGAAAACAACAAACCAACGGATGATACAATTAAACTTCATTATCCACTCAGTCATTGCAGTGCGCCCGCCGGGTGGGTGCACCTCAACTCATACGTCCAGACACAGTTTTAGATGGCTGAAAAACTTGGCACAGCTGAGAGAATTGGGGACCGTATAGCAGTAAAGTCTTACCACCCTGACCAAAGAGCCCAAACGTAGAGCCCACTTTCATTATTCTACTCGCTTCTGTCTAGGCTTAAGGACTGCGTAAGAGCTGTGAGTCAAAACACCTGAAACTGAAGAACCAGTTGAGAGTGACTCAGTTAAACTGACAGTGCAGAAATGGGTAGGGAGTTCAATCAAATCGGTAGTTTAGCACTGAGATGAGATGGGGTTTATCTGGACAAACATTACGGATTCATCAGAAAGGTGACTTCAAGGATACATAACAGCTGTCCTTTTTGTGACAAGAAATCTGCCGTTGTCAAGCCATGATTCAAGGTGTTCTTGTGGGCATAGGTACAGCACAGTAAAAGGTACGATTTCCCAATAATGTACTCAGGTCGTTAACCACTTGTTGTCATACGCGAAGATTTGAGACGCCTGATGAGTGTAAACCTTGCGAAAACGCCTCACTTCGGGTCTTGGCAATTTTTCAAGCTCAAATATTGCTACTGAACAATCTACCTGTTTACGTTTTTACGACCAGACCTACGCACCACACCAAGCCAAACGGGACGCAGATAAATTCAGACAAATACGTTAAGAAAATTGGCCACCTCACCTTTGATAATCCGAACGACGCTAATAGATTATCTCGAATGCAATATCAGCACCGGTACTTCTTTCACCGAGTCATCCCCAACTTGATTAACCCTTGGATTGTGTGACAATTCGTTGTGGCAGGAATGGCAAACAACTGTCTGCACTTGTGAATACGAGAACTCCACACAGGGTAGTTCTCTGTGTTTAGAGACGTGGGGTGCACGATAAGACAATGGCAACATAGGCCTCAGGGAACAAATGACTATTTAAGACTTTTTGGACAATGCGTCATTCTAAATTATGGATACGTAATTCCTCCCTCTAACTGTCACTCTCATCACCACCATTATCATCATCATCACAATAGACGGAATAACATCGGTACTGAGACTCAGTGGCTCAAAACCGTACAGCCATAATTTACGCAAAAGTCTTACCATGGAAAAGAGCAGAAGAACGGAGAGAATGCACTTAGTGCCAGACCCCTACAAGCATTTCGAGTGGCCTTCACGTCCAAACACTCGTTCGAACACTTTAGATAGGAGATGATATTGAGAACGCTGTGGAGTTGACCAACGACCATTTCTGTCAGTGTCTCAAGTGAGGCTCATGGAGGAACACCTAAGCCTCATACCAAGGGGCCAAAACTCTTCGTAATCTCTTTACTACCGTATGGCAAACCCAAAGGTTGGCCAAACACCTGCTTCAGCCACTCTGACTTAACCGAACTGGCTGAAAAAGAGTGCGTAATGTATAACCAATCCACCTCAGCCTCTGATACTGGACAGATGAATTTATCAAATTATTTGCTGCCCGACCAAGCACCATCCACGAACATGACCCTGAAGTGTGTGGAAGCCAGGTGCACTTCAAAGATAGTTCGTCCGAAAAAGACTTTAGCTTCTTTCACCCCTAAAGTTGTAAAGAAAATCATCCGCATGCTCCAGATCAACCAGTTCCTTGTCAGTAGCTATGTACACACCAATAGCTGACATCGTTCTTCTTTCGTCAGCGACAAAGTTGAACGGACTTAAGTAGAGTGGACATCTATGTTGGATGCTTTCATTCACTCAGTAGCGAAAATAATCAGTTTGTTGATCTCCAAACTGACACCTTTGGAAAAATATCGTATTTAACTGGAAACAGTGCATTTTCGCCTGGGAATTGAACATTAACACTTATTTATTACGTACAGACGCGAGTAAGGTGATGCATCCAAATAAACTTTAATTTTTTTATTAAAAAGCATTCTCTACTTAGCCCTTGTTTTCATTCCGGATGGAGTGGATGGAAAATTTTCGGCGCATAAGTGTCATTATAGTGAGTGGATTGGTTGGTCGGGTTTTAAACCACCCAAGCATGGATATCTTCACCCGTTCGTTTGTGATAAGTCGAGTGGGGTTAGCGCGCAATGGTTGAATTGCGGTAACTCGGTTGCCTCACCCGTCAAATGTCCGGAGTTCGAATCCCACACTGTCAAGGATATGCTTTGCTCTGAGCCCTAATAGGAGCGAAACTCGAGTTCGTTGGTGCTCCAATTCGTCATGGACCCACCAGAATAAGTGCGCCAGGAAGGGTGATGAAAATGTGAACTCGAGGAAGTATATTTCTATTGACAGGCCACATCGAACTGTCTTGGTGTTTCTCACTAGTATCGGTAAATAATTATCACGATCGATGGGTGAAGTGAAGGAAGTACAAGAATTCGGGTTAGAGGTTAGGTTCTGTTCTTCAGGTTAAGACCACTTAATTTGCGGATGCCTTTGTAAAGAGCGACCGACAATTATCAGCTCGAATGAGTCCCACACGTTTGTTAGCCCTAAAAGCCCGCTGCTGTTCCAAATGCGGATTCTGGTAACTTTCACTGTCGCAGCCATTAGCCACTGCGGCTTGAATGGTATCAGCAGCCCACATAAGGTTTGTTGTCTCTTCGTTGTCCCGCGTCTGCTGCACGCCCCACTGGATTTAGAAAGGCTATCAGAGGGCACATCAGTCTGCAGCTGATTTTCCCTCTGATAACCTTTCCAGGGGTGGTGCATTCATTAACCATATTTGCGAGAAACTATATTTTTAAGTAACCTCTTTCTGAAATGCTGCTCTAAAGTCAAACGTGATAGTATGGAGTTACCAGTCATGAATTATCTTCGGCATGGGTGAATGACCAGGTGAGATTATACTTTGTTGTATCATCCATCCAGGTTTGGCTCCCAGGACACCTTCATATTTGTACCTGTTACGCCAACCTATGGATGTTTCAGAACTAAAAACGAAGGGGAATTAGCGAAATACACTCATTTGCGTACCAAGTTGGTTTTGACGGCCCACTCACCTGGAACTCGGCAAATTCTCTCGTTTATGAAGCTTCTAAGCCATCAACTAGTTTTCAGCAGGCTTATGAGTAGTGCATTACATCTATACGAAAGATTATACTCTCAAAACCACTAGGTGATCTAAATTCAAAGATGAGAGACTTCCCCCGAGTCATACTCATGAAGTTTTGTCAGCCGACCCGTCTGTTGCCAACTGATCACTCTGTTTGTCATGAAATCTGACCGGCCCTCTAACTTCTAATCAAGTAACTTTTGAGCCAGAAACAAATTGCCGGTTAGGAATGAATTCATCCATGGCTTCACTACCGGTTTCGTGGATTTTTCAGTTCATTGAAAACTTTGTTTTGTATGATATGAAGGTGATTATTGAGTTGTTGACATCTACACTTCCGAATAAATTCAACAGGATAGTACCAAGGCGAGGGAGAAGATTTTAGCATGAGGATACTTCACTTATATATGCACTCCTCTTTGTGGTCAAATCAGCGCTTTCCGGTTGCACACATGCTTCGCGTTGCCGGAAAACAGACATGTGATTTTACTGATCTCTACTCCGCCGTCTCCCACGCAGATCTTAAACAAAGAAATGGTATCCACTGAAGAAACCCACACCTATTTCTACACGCATGCTCAGGTGGTTCATGCCGCGATAGCTATTTTGCTCGGAGCGTATCTGGATTGCATATCGAACAGTAAGTTGATTATGGCAGAATATCTTTTTTCGGATACAAGCTACTAGTTTTTGATAGTAGCTGGAACGAAGTGAGAAAATCGTTGCGGGCCATTGTGTCATTCGTGAGACGAACAATCCCACATCCCTATTTTCAGGTGGAACTGGACACAAATACGATTGGAATTTTCCAGTTGTATTCATCAAGATGTTCTTCCAGGCGCTGGACGTGAATTATGCCAGCATGGAGCAATCATCAATATTCATCAAGGGAAACACAAATCGAACAATTGATCGTTTGGTTGAGGAGTCTAAACTAGAATTCACCCGTGTCTGGTAAGCACTCGGAATTTGTCAGCACAAATTTGTTTTCGGTCCAAATCAAGATCATCATCAAAACAAATACAACTCGATAAATTTAATTTGATCTGTTTACATTTATGCTAGGTAGGGCATGACAGCCAATATGAGTGCAAAATGAGTGTGATCCTGTTTCCAATTGGTGGTCATCTTGATTAATCACTGGTCCTAAATTTGTGTTCGCAACTACCACAGTATAATTCATGGCAATCCGATTTTCAGTGGTTGTATGACTAACTAACTGCATAGCTTCTATCCGTTTCTAAATATTTGGAAGCCGCGCACGTCGATTTCAAATCGAAACTGACCGCAATTACTAGCCAGCCAGATGTGGACCCAGAAGATTCGCACGCAATACCATCTCATAGTGGTATTGAGGCACAGCCTAGTTGAAGTGTAAACTAAGTCACAATAGCTCCTTTGCATTCTTTTGTGTAACAAAAAGTAGGCTTATGTTGCTTATGGCTGCGGAAGTTACCGTTTGTATTCCGAAATTGGTCATTTCAGACAGTCTGTCATTAGAAGAGCTACCTGAAATTTCCCATAATATTTACTGTTGGTTTGTGGGTGAATGGAGGTGATGCACAGTCTAATTGACCTAAAACCCACCCATTCAATTCAACACTATCGTCATCCTCCTACTCCTTCTCATAATCAGCGTCCTCGTCAGAACCATGCTACTCCTCTTCCTTTTCCTATTAATAATAATAGTAATTAATGATTGTTATAATCATCATCGGCAGTGATAACAAGAACCAAAAGAGTATGATTTGGTTACCACGAATAAATTATAAAGGGAAAAGGACTGGAATGAAGTTAAAGTTGAGAACTTACAGAGAATCGAACCTTAGAATTGATCTACTTAATCTTGATTGAGCAGATTAGGGATTCAAGCTCATCATTAACTAAAGAATTTACCACTGGGGAATTTTCTCCTAAAGCTTCCTTCCCAATCAGGTCATCACCAGCATCGACAGCAAGCCCAATGAGAATAACGGAACTTCACTGTCACATGGTCATGTCAATTTATTTGAATAAAACCTTATAATAGAGAGAAGAAAATATGATATAGGATCAGGGATATAGGGATAGCATGCAACAACTCCAACACTCAGTAAGACACACTGGATAGAGACTGACAGCATGAACGTCACTGAAGATGTTTGAAAATCCGGTTGGATGGTGGAATTGAAGTGTTCTTAGCTCGGGATCTTGTCATCGGTTGACCATCGGTTGTTCTTCCTCAGAACGTCAGAGGATTCTCAGACAACGGTAGGTACATGATCTAAACAGTGTACGGATCATGTCAACGGATTCAAGACAGACTGTAGTGATATGCATGGGTTGAGGTGACGTCGGCGACAATGAGGTTTGGCACTGGGAAGAAGCAAAGCTGTTGTTCGTCACGTCAAAAAACAACAGAGCATTTAGGTAATTCCGATTTACTTCATGGTTATCATCTATTTATTTGAAGATTGAATTTATATTGAACAGGTCCAAAATAAGGAATGTGAAACTGAAAAAAATGCCTGGGCCAACTTTACTAGAAGGGAGACTTCATACTAGGTGTGGAAGGAAAAAAACATTAAAGTTCTTCAATGCACGCAATCCTTCTGCCTAGAAATGAGGTTTCATACCATGTCTTTTCTCTTCCTTCTTTCATGCAGGCTACAAGGTGTCTCGAAAGACTACGTTCGATGGCGAGGTTGGTCGAAAACCAAATTTCGGGCCGTATCCAAGGTAAACTTATTATTACAAAAGGGAGAAATCACGGCCATTCTGGGACACAATGGCGCAGGAAAAACCACAATTTTTAGCATACTTGCAGGACTACAACCAGCAACTGGTGGTAACATTAGAATTTTTGGAAAGGTGAGCGGCTTGGTGAAGAGAACTGTAACTCGGTGTTCGTTCAACACGGGGAAGTTTTTCCTTGTTTCACTGCAGCAAAAACACAAACATCGCACAGCGGAGCTCCGTTTACTTCCATCTTCTGCATGGTTTTGTAGTCTTCCCTGAGCATTTAGCTTAAGCATGTTGACAGATCCCCTGATGTGATAACAGCATTGGTTCAGAGCTTCTCACGTCTTGAGTACCTGTACAAACTAACACACGGGAGTTATCATTGTCTGACTCACTGTGGAATTCCCGAAAGCCACACACACATTTGTTTAATCCACTAGACAAATTCAAATGCAGCCTTTGTGACGGCTCAGCTAGTGGATCACTTATCCAGCGAGTAGCAGGCCGTGGGTTTGTCCCCAGTTCAAGCGAATTTGCCTTTTCGTTGGTGACATTTGTAGAAGTACTCCTTTCCAAGGTTATTTGAACCAGACTCTAGAGTTCAAGGGCGTATGAATGGAACGATGCCGAGTTTTGGCTACACCCTGTAATTCGTTAGGCTGAGCCTAGGCTAACATATCAGGCAAGAAAACCGTCAATGGCTGTTCTCTCTTCATGTATCCGTCGGAAATGTAACAATAAATCCAACTAACTAAGACGACAGTTGTTGGTTTTCTCTTGGCAGAACCCATTGGATGCTTGGGATGCTATCAACTTGCGCAAGATCACCGGGATCTGCACACAGTTTGACGTCCTGGATGACCATCTGACTGCATACGAGCACATGCGACTGCTTGGTGCCATCAAGGGTGTCAGCTATCATTCAGCGCACAGAGAGGTGAGTTACACGCACTGTATTAGGATTCAAAAATAGTGGGGTCTTGATGGGTCTATCTTAACTGGTCCTTAGGATACGAAGATGATCCTACAGCCAAAACTTTCCATTTTTGGGGACTTCATTAGATATGCTTGCATGGAAATAAAGACAATTTTGTCCTCAATCATGAGATTTATTGGACCAAGTATTTATGACCATAGATGACTCAAAACGTAGGTCAGGTAAATTTTTTACAGCTGATACACCCTGTGGACGAAAACGTTATCAATTTTTCCTAAACTTATTTTCATAGAGAATCCAGAGGAATGTGAACAATTCTACTTTACCTATTCTCTTCATGGACTTCACAAAAAGTTTCAAACTTCCCACTTGAAAAGCGAGCAGTTCCGTCTCGGATTCGGGATAGAAACGATGACTTTTGGATAAATATTGGGTATAAGGAGGACAAGCTTCGCCTAGAACCATCTAGAATATTAGAATTTTCTAATAAAAACATTTTCTTTCTGAAAGTACTACCAACAGTTTGATATTATTACCGGAAAACTCGGAAACTCTGGTCCTCCAAGGGAGGTTAGTGTATGCCGGAAATCGGAACCTCCCGTACGACTGTTTGCTACCTTCCAGAAATTATCAGCAGGGTGCTCGTCAGGAAGAGATTAGAAAACAGATCACTGATGACACTATACACACATATATTATATATGTAAATACACATAGTTCGTAATTCCTTGCCTCATGCAATAACGACTTCTAACGATAGGCTGTACACCTATCCATCCAGTTACCTATCAGTCTATCCACTTACCGATCAACCGATCAATCAATCAGTCAGTCAGTCAGTCAGTCAATCAATCAATCAATCAATCAATCAATCAATCAATC